GGTGGAATATTAAACAAGCTGGTAGGTGTGTGTGTATGTGTGTGTTGGTCCTAAGGCTTGAACTCAGGACCTGGGCACTGTCCCTGAGCTTTTTGTTCTATTACTTGAGCCACAGCTCCACTTCATGGTTAATTGGAATTGAGTCTCATTGATTTTCCTGCTTGAGCTTGGCTTCAAATTGTGATCCTCAGATCTCAGTCTCCTGAGTAGTTAGGATTACAGGTATGATATATAGACACCCAGCTCCTTGGCAGCTTTTGAACCTGGTTCTGACAACCTTACACTTGTATATAGTATATTGGGAGAGGTGTCCTGCAGCACACTAAAGGAGGGCTCAGCTTCAAAAGCCAGAGGGAACCTGGGCCAGGCCTGGTTTTCCTTTATTAGCTATATGACCTTACATAGGTCATTCTATTTCTGAGCCTATGAAATCAGTAAAATGGGGTCATATGTATACTGAGTGGTTGTTGTGAAGGTTGGGAACAATGTAAATAACATGTCTATCTCAATGTCGCAAACATACAGTCAAGTAGTAGCTATTAACTTCTTTCTAGGGTAAGAAGTCTATCTGTGACTGGCTGCTACCTCACATCTATAATCCTAATTACTTAGGGGGCTGAGATCTGAAGATTGTGGTATGAAGCCAGTTTGGGCAGGAAAGTCCACGAGACTCTTTTTTTTTTTTTGGGTCTGGTCGTGGGGCCTGAACTCTGGGCCTGGGTTCTGTCCCTTAGCTCTTCAGCTCAAGGCTAGCACTCTACCACTTGAGCCACAGCACCACTTCCGGCTTTTTTCTTTTTGTGTATGTGGTGCTGAGGAATCGAACCCAGGGCCTCTGGCATGCAAGGCAAGCGCTCTACCACTGGGCTACCTTCCCAGCCCTCCACGAGACTCTTATTTCCAGTTAACCACCAAAAAGCTGGGAAGTATCGCTCAAGTGGTAGAAATATCAGCCTCAGGCAGAAAAGGCAAAGGGACAGTGCCCATGTCCTGACTTCAAGCTCCAGGATAGGCACAAAACAATAATCTTAAATAAGTAAGTAAAATTCTATCTGTGGCTGCTTTGATGGAAGGGAGACAGTATTTGCTTATGTAGCCCCAGGGATGGGGAACATCCACTCCTGGGACAGCTCTGCCTGCAAAACCTTCTTCCTGAGATCCAGCTGAGGCCTGGCCTAGTTGTTTCTAGGGCCACAGTGCTTGCTAATCTGCATTTTTCCTAAAGAATCTCAAGAGATGGTACTGGTAACACAGTGCTGGCCTGTATTGTAAGAACAAGGCTCTGGAAATCCCTACACTTGTTCAGAGCAGTCCTTTATTTTCTTTTTTTAAAATTATAAATGATTATCTTTAAGTAGTTCTACAAAGGAGCTACCCTTGAACAAATCAGTTTATTAAGTAAAATGCATTTTGATGGATGTCGCCCCATTATCATTCTCCCTCATCCCTCAGGTGAAGGCATTTAAAGTCAGGCTTATATAAATCACAAAAATCCTTTGCTCTGTCCCATAGAGTTTAGAATGTATGGGTTTTATGTTCCTGAATCTGCTTACTTATTCTCCCAGCTCTTTGAAACGTTCTTCATAGAGGACCATTCCCTATGAAAGAATTGGGTTCTATACATTCAATTTTTGTTATTTTGAGACAAGAGTTTCATTGCATAGCTCAGGCTGGCCTCAAACTTGCAATCCTCTTGCCTCAGCTTTCTGAGTACTGGGGTCCCAGGTGTATTCTATCATGCCCAACATCAATTACCTTATTCTGCAAAAGGACTCCAGAGAAGGCCTAGTAGATCAGTGGTCTAGGCTGGATCCTAAAGATCCCAACAACCAGCATCTCTATACCCTTGGTATTCACTTCTTGAGGAGGGAGGTAAAGGGAAGATAATGTCTGGGCTAGAGCAGTTGCATCCAACTCTTTGTTAGTCTCCTGCATCTGAGCAAGTGCTGCTATCCCTCCCCAAGAGTCCAGTGTCATTTATGGGATAGTTGGTCTAGAACTTGGCCTTGGTATAGCATAGGCTGATGCTGTTTGGCTCAACTCTACATTTCTAGTGCTTGATAAGCTTTGAATAAGGAGTTATTTTTGAGATAAAGTGGTGTGAGGAGAGTAAGCTGGGAAACCCACCAGTTTTCCACAAGTTAGAGTCTCAGACAGCTGTTTTCAGAAGTGCAATTCAGGCATAAGAGGAAGGTCAGTGAGGTGTGGATAGACCAGGGTAAGTTGCTAGATAGCCACATGTGGCCAAAAATTGGATAGTGGAATTTGAACCCAGGTGGTTTACACTGAGTTAGACTATAGATAAATCTTGAGCAACAAATGACCTTCCTTCCTTCCTTTCTTCTTTCCTTCCTTTCCTTCTTCCTGCTCTGGAGCTTGATCTCTGGGCCTGAACGCTGTCCCTGAGCTTCTTTTGCTTAATGTTCTACCACTTGAGCCACAGTACCACTTCTTGCTTTTTTGAGTAGTTTATTGGAGATAAGAGTCTCAAAGAGTTTCCTGTCTGGTCTGGCTTTGAACCATGATTCTCAGATCTCTGCCTCCTGAGTTGCTAGGATTAAAGGTGTGAGCCACTGGTGCCAGGCTTCACAAATGGTATTTCTTGAGTACTGACTATGTGTGAGGTCCTGTTAGGAGAAATTCTCATTAATACAATAAATGTGTGAGGAAGGTATTATTTCCCCCACCTTTTTTTTTTTTTGGCCAGTTATGGGGCCTGAACTCTGGGTCTGGGTGCTATCCCTTAGCTCTTCAGCTCTACCACTTGAACCACAGTGCCACTTCTGGCTTTTTCTGTCTTCTGGTGCTGAGGAATCAAATCCAGGGCCTCATGCATGCAAGGCAAGCAGTCTACCATTGAGCCACCTTCCCAGCCCTGTAACTCCACTTTTATTTTATTTTATTTTGGGTCCCGTCATGGGGCTTGAACTCTGGGCCTGGGCACTGTCCCTCAGCTCTTCAGCTCAAGGCTAGCACTCTACCACTTGAGCCACAGCGCCACTTCCGGCTTTTTTCTTTTTGCTTATGTGGTGCTGAGGAATTGAACCCAGGGCCTCAGGCATGCAAGGCAAGCGCTCTACCACTGAACCACCTTCCCAGCCCCTGTACCTCCACTTTTAAAATGAGGAAATGACTAGCTTACAGTTCTACAATGGTGGGGGCTGAGACTGAAGCCCAGTCAGTTTGCTAGCTCTAGCTCTAGCTGTGGTCCCTCAGCCAGTCTGGGCTCAGGGGTCCCCAGGTACCCATTTGCTTGCCCCAGGCCTTTCCTGATCTGAGATTTTAGTGGAGGACTTTCAAGGAAACCAGAAACTGAAAGGTAGGTCTCCTAGTTTGTACCCAGTTCTAGATATAGAGCTGACTCCAGCAGAGCTATGGCTCTTTCCTGCACAAGAAAATAGTCTAACTCAGTGTGAACTATCTGGGTTCAAATTCCACTGTCCCAATTTTTGGCCACATGTGGCCATCTGGCAAGTTACCTTGGTCTATCCACTGACCTTCCTCTTTTGCCTGAATTGCACTTCTGAGAACAGCTGGTTTACCCAGCTCACTCTCCTCACAGCCCTGTATTTCAGAACAATTCCTTAGGTATGAGGAAGAGCCATTTTCACTCTTTTAAGGAGCCCAAACAAGGCTGACACCACTCCTTCGGGTGGTGTGGGCAGAGCAAGAAGAGGTGTGGAAGGATCTTAGTTTAACCAGGCTACCAGCCTGTGACAAGTAGGATAGACAAGGACTTCCTCCAAGCTCCTTGCTGTGTCCTCTACTTTTCCCTATGGTTATCATCCATCTTTCTCTTCTTTCCTTTTTGTCCCCTCTTCCTTTTTATGTGGTGCTGAGTATGAACTCAAGGCCTTCACAATGGTAGGCAAACATTATACCACTTAGCCACCCCTCTGTCTCCAGTTCCTGAATCAGTTTCTTTACAACGAATAGAACCTCTCCTGACCTACAGATTCTAGTTCTGCCGTGTGACCTTCAGAGCATTTCCAGTTCTCTACAGACAATAGCCTTCACATATGACATGGGGCTGTGGCCTTAAGACCATTCTGTTCTCTTCCAGCAGAGACGCCGGTGACCTTCGTCTTGGGGGTGCACTATAGTAGAGCCATTTGTTCTTTTGCAGGACAACTGCTTGCCTCCTCCACCCCCACCCCCCAAATCGTAACGGCCTGGCACTTGCGGTCAGTTGCAAAAGGACTCGTTCATGCTCAATCTCTTCGTGGTGGGGATCCAGAGGGAGGAAGAAAAACACCAAAAAACAAAACCGGTAACTCTATCTTAGAGTCACCGGCATGATGACCGCTCCCGGTTGCAAAGAAGAATAAAATCTCACTTCGAGCATCGCCTCCCACCCCTATCACACATCCCAATACAAACGCTACAGTCGCTGGAGCCAGCAGGAGGCGGGGGGCGGCCAGTGCGCGTGCGTCGGCGCAGAGCCCTCTCTCGCCCACGTGCGCGCCCCCGGCCGGAGACGCGCACCGCGGCCGGCTGGCGGGAAAGCGCGCGGGAAGCCCCCGGCTGCCTCTCCATGTGGGGGAGGGAGGACTGGAGGCGTTTGGAACGTGCCACTCTCAGTGAGAAAGGGGGGATTTTCGCGCTTCTTTGGTTTTTCCACCTCTCCCATCCGTCCACCATTCCGTTAGTTCCCCCTATCCGCCAGCACAATACAGAGCCCCGCGCCGCAATCCCGCTCCCTCGCTTCAGCCTGGCTCGGGCCCCCTGAAGCCGGGCGCAGGACTGAGCTGTTTCCTTTGCCGCCGGAGCGGGGCGCTGCACCGCGCGGCGGGGCCGGAAATTCCCGCGGCCTGAGTGGTGGAGCTCTAGCTGGGAGCGCGGCGCCGCCTTCCTCCTCGCCGGGCCGGGTGGGGGCGTCGGGCACCGCGAGGGCCGGGCTGCCCGAGTGGGTGGGGAGGGGGGGGGGGGGGGCCGCCGCGGCGGGGGGGGAGCGCGAGCGACGCGGCTGCTGTTCACCAGAGGCTCGGCGAGCCGGGAGACCCTGGCGCCCCCGCTCCCGGCCCCCGCCCCCTCGCGGTCTCCGCCTCCTTTTCCTCACACACCCCCCGGGCTGCCCGGGCCCCAGGCCTTCCCCGCGCTCCTCCTCCTCCGTCTCTTCACACTCTCTCCGACCTGGGTCCTTTTGCTGCCCGTCGGCCTGGCAGCCTCTGGGGCGAGTCCTCCTCGGGCTCCCTTTCACACGCACGCACGCGCCCTCGCTCGCAGGGCGGCCCCCTCTTCTCCAGCCTTCCTCCTGACCGTCCTTTAAGGCCGCCGTCGGGGGAAGGATTGATGTCCCTTCAGCATCATGCAGCCGCCGCCGAGGAAGGTAAGGACGCAGCTGGAGGGGCTTGGGAGCTTTGAAGGGATGCGTACCCGGAACGCGACCACTGTGCCCCCTCCCCCTTTCCGCAAGGGGCCGTGATCGCTGGTCGCCTCTGGCATGTCACTGAGTTGCCGCCGGTTCCAGGCGGGGGTGCGGGGGGTGGGGTGGGGGGAAGGTGGTGGGAGGGGGTGGCGCGTGTGCGTGGTGCCTGCCTTGCCAACCGAGGGGCAGCCAGGGACTTCGGTAGCGCTGGAGCCCCCCCCCCCCTTCCCGATATTGTGCAAGAGTTTTGGGTGTGTATTTAGGTGTGTGCGTCCGCATGGTCGTGCCACCCACTGCAAAGTGCATTCTCGGGGCTGCACCGAGGGGAGCCAGGGGGAGCCCCTGCAGATTTGCAGAGCCCTTGTGCGTTGTGTGATTGTTTAGTCTGCACACCAGGTTTGAGCCCTCCAGTCGGTTGTCGCCCAGCGCGGTGTGTGTGTGTGTGTGTGTGTGTGTGTGTGTGTGTGTGTGTGTGTGTGTGTGTGTGTGTGTGTGTGATTTGTTTCAAGCCTAGCGGTAAGGTTTGGCCTGTTTCCCCCCCCCCTCCCCTTTACCCGGGACTGCCGTAAAGAAGTTGGAGGAGTCACCGCCCTTCCATCCCAAGGAAAAGCAAATTAAGAATTGACGGATTCTGCCTTTCTTCCCCCCCACCCTCCACCCCGCCCTGCCCCTGTCAAGGGGACCAGGAAACCGAGGCACTTCCCCCAGGAAAGCGAGTTTGCGGCAGCAAGCTGGGTTTGGATGGCCAGGGTGGGAGTGACCGGTGTTTTAGGCTAGTGAGCAGCTTCCCTTGCGTTTAATCCTGCAGATGAATACTGGTTATCTACTCTGGGTGCTGGAGGGAGGAGGCCGTTCTGCCCTCCTCTTCTGGGCAAACATTTGCCGAATGTCTAATTCACCCGTCCCCAGCTTTCTCTTCTTTCCCCTTTTAAATGGGTTCTCCAGCTGAATCTTTTTCTTTTGCATATGTACTACCTCTCCAGTGGCCAGCATTCCACTACTGGAACCTCGAACTCTGGGGTCCAGCCTTGTGGTCGAGGTTCTGGCCAGCTGGCGTTTGCGGCTCTCGATATTTGAAGTGGAGCCACCATGGGGCCTGGCTTGCTGGGTTAGTTTAAAAGAACTGTATATGCTGGAAGGTCACTTTTTGAGTTCTCCTTTGTGAGAAAGAGATTGTGGTTTGATGGGCTGTCAGCGAATGGAGGACATCATCCCCAGCCTGTCCTTTCTCCCAGCTATTGTGGAATAATTTATGTAGTTCATTCATACATATTATTTCACGATGGTCTAAATTTTGGTTGTTAGGTATTCGATATTTTTAATGTCTCTTCTCCCATCTAATCTCTGCTCATCTCTCCTAGTGGTCAGTATCTGTATCTTTTTTGGGGGAGAAGAAATGGAAGAGAGGTTCTTTTAAAACTGTACTGAGCTTGTGCATAAAGTAGAATGTCTACTATATTTTGCAACTCTTTAAATCTGTCATTTTTTACTTGTGCACAAAAATGTGTATTCAGCCTCTTTCAGATTGTTTGGTTATTACGTATCTTTAGTAATAAAACTAGATGGCAAATAATGGGTTTATGGTCTTCAAGGAGAGTAGAGCAAAAAGTACATATTCTGACAAGTATTAAGTGTTTTTAAATAGGTTGTGCTTCAAATTGTAAAAAGACTTTCATAAATATATGATTTATTCTAGGTGAAAGTTACACAAGAGTTGAAAAACATTCAAGTTGAACAGATGACAAGACTTCAAGCCAAACATCAAGCAGAATGTGATTTGCTTGAAGATATGAGGTAAGGTTATAGTAAATAGTTTGATAACTTATCTATCTCTGTTTCCAAGGACCTTTGAGTTGTTAAGCTCTTGGATCTGATGATGGAATTTCTTTTTTGGGGTGGGGGTCAGTCATGGGGGCTGAACTCTGGGCCTGAGCGCTATTCCTCAGCTCTTTAGCTCAAGGCTAGCGCTCTACCACTTGAGCCACAGCTCCACTTCTGGCTTATGTGGTGCTGAGGAATCGAATCCAGGGCTTCATGGATGCGAGGCAAGCACTCTACCACTGAGCCACCTTCCCAGCCCTGGAATTTTTTTTTTTTGGGTTTCCTGCTTTAAGACTGTTAGCACTGGGGCTGGGAAGGTGGCTCAGTGGTAGAGTGCTTGCCTTGCATGCATGAGGCCCTGGGTTCGATTCCTCAGCACCACATAAGCAAAAAGAAAAAAGCCGAAAGTGGCGCTGTGGCTCAAGTGGTAGAGCGCTAGCCTTGAGCTGAAGAGTTGAGGGACAGCGCTCAGGCCCAGAGTTCAGGCCCCACGACCGGACCCCCCCCCCCAAAAAAAAAAAAGACTGTTAGAACTTTTATTCGGCTGAAACTTGTAACTGAAATTACAACAGAACAAACTTCCTTCAGTGGAGAAACCTTAATTTACAGATACTGTTAGGAAAGAAACAAAGGGCTTAAAGGTGTTAGATTATGATCAATGAAAGAAAAATTATTTTTTTTTCATCTGTTTACTCTTTTGAAATAAAAATTCTTTTTAGTTTTTTGCTGGTCATGGTGCCTGAACTCTGGGCTTGGGCACTGTCCCTCTGCTCTTCAGCTTAAGGCTAGTGCTCTACCACTTGAGCCACAGCACCACTTCCAGCTTTTTCTGCTTATGTGGTGCTAATGAATCGAACCCAGGGCCTCATGCATGCAAGGCAAGTGCTCTACTACTGAGCCACCTTCCCAGCACCGGAAAAAAAATTCTTATTTACATCTTTTCACTGAATTATAACGGCTATTTACTGACTTTAACAATTTTACACAGGTTTTGTTTTTTTGTTTTTGTTTTTTTTTGTCAGTCATGGGGCTTGAACTCTGGGCCTGAGTGTTGTCCTGCAGCTCTTCAGCTCAAGGCAAGCGCTCTACCACTTGAGCCACAGCTCCACTTCTGGTTTTCTGAGTGGTTTATTGGAGATAAGAGTCTCACAGACTTTCCTGCCCAGGCTGGCTTTGAACTGTGATCCTCAGATCTCAGCCTTCTGAGTATCTAGGGTTACAGGCATGAACCACCAGCGCTGCCTACACAGGTTTTTTTTTTTTTTAAAACAGACCTGTAGTTAATGGTTAATATCTGGGGTGATTCAGTCAACCTTAGATGATTGTATATTAGTGCTGTTCGTTACTGCATGAAATAACTTTGTCTTTGAATGATAAATACAACACAAACTGTGTTTCTCATATTTTGTTGTTACTTATATTTATAATCAAGATAAATTCAAACTTGATAAGACATCTTCTAACATTTCAAAAATGAGTATCAGAAATGTTACACACCTGTAATCCCAGCACTTATGAGGCTGAGCCAGGTGGATTACAGGCTCAAGGCTAGCTTGGGCTATATATTGAAAACCTATCTCAAAAATAAAATGGAGGACAAAATGAACAAAAAGAAATCAGAGTATTGTGAAAATGAGAGGGAAGCATGATTTAATTTATTGAAAGAAATGTTAATTAACAATCATTGTACAAACTGACAGGTCAACATGTATTTTTATAAATAGAAAAGATGATTTGCATGATGAAATAGAGTGGCTACAATTCTTATTTCCTTTGAGTACCATAGTTATCAAGTGAGAGGTTTTGAGTGAAGGTATGGCCCCAGTAGTAGAGCATGGGCCTTGAGTGAAAATTCAAGTGACTGAAAAGTATTCTTATTTTAATTCTGAGTTATTTTCTTTCTCCTTTTGTTCTTTTCTTTTTCTTTTTTTGCTTCTTGTCACTACAAGAGGAAAAAAAAAAGGTTCTTTTAAGTGGGGCTGAGTATTGAACCCAGGCCTTGTGTACACTAAGCATACACTCTTCACCGGCTCTTCTCCTTAGTTTCAGTGGGTTTTTTAGATAAAAAAAAATTCCTGTGTAAGATACCTATGGCTAAGTCTACCAATATATTTTTATAGAAATCTCTAGAGGAAGCAATCAGTTTTCAGAAGCATTTCAAGAAGGCAAAATTAGTGTGTAAATGAAGATTCTGTGTGGAGTGTGGATGGTCACTGGTCATTAAGTCTTGCTGAGTATATGTGTCTTCTAAGACTTAATTAAATTCTTTACTTCTGTTGCCTGTGTGCAAGAGTTTAAGGCCTAGACTATGGACTTTGAAGTCAGTGTCAGATTCGTGTCAAATGTACTTGATGCAAGTGCTTAAGATCTAGACTATGGACATTGGAGTCAGTCTTCAATTTGTGTCCAGGCTCTGTTACCTTCTAGATGTTCTGGATTCTGAAAAAACAGCTTTCTTATTCTAAACTTCAGTTTTCTTATTTGTAAAATGGGGCAGTAGTGGCCTGCATTCACAAAGATTGTGCACTGAATGTTGATATGGCATGTATTAGGAAAGTTGATGTAGATTGTTGTTCCTGCTGTTGTTTCTTCTGTATATTTTTGATTAATCAATTCTGATTGTATTGTTACAATATTCTAGTTATCATAACTGTGTCTTCATAGCTTCTATATCCCGTCTCACCTTTTTACTCTGTCTTCCCCATTGCTGTCAGTTAGTTTTATTATATATGAGTTCTCTGTGGCCTTCTGGATAAAGGCTGGCCACCTTGTCATGGCATACATGACAGTAGCTTCCCTAATTACAATCTTGGCATGCCTATGCTTACTTGTTCTTCTGTCCACTCAGGGTATCTGATTATTTGTGTATTCGATACTCATGCATTTGCTTTTGCTGTTTCCATTGCCTATTGATACCCTTCCTGCCACTTTTTCACCCAATAATCTGGCTACCACTACCTCTGCAAGTTAATTGCCCTTTGTGATCTCAAAGGATTTCAACATTCTTATGTGAATTCTTTGAAGTTAGAGGCCAAACCTTAATCTTTTTTGTAACTTTGTACTTTTGTAATGACAAAATTATCAAATGAATATTGTTATATTTAAATGTACCCTTATTTTGTTCTTGGTAAAATATTTTATAAGAGCCTGTAGAGGTATCTTTCTGCTGACCCTACTTTATACTTTGATTTACATGGGCACTTTATACTGTGCTATTTGATGTAGACTGTATATTTATATATAAACAGTAAGTGCAGAGATTGGTGGTGCACTACGGATCAGCAGATTATATTTTAAAGGAGTCAGTGTGCTTTTCTATTTATTTGACACCTATATAGTTGTGACTAGAGTACTGTATTGCCAGAGGAAATGTGATTGAGGTCCCTCTCAGTCTCTGTCTCTGTGTGCTCAATTTAAGAGATTTAATTGTTAGAGTATGCTATGGTGAAAGTAAGGTTTATTATTTGACACATTTTATGAAATGAGATGACTGAGCCACATGTTACCAAAGATTGCTACATAATTCAACTTTCTAGAAACAAGGATTCTTTTCCCCTTCTCATTATACAGAACAAATGTGAAAGTGCTGAAAATTTTTATGATTTCACTTATTGGGAGAATAATCCATTGTGGAAATTATGCACCTTATTGACTCTTTTGGGTATGTCCACCCATAAATATTCTTTTTTTTGTGCTGGTCCTGGGGCTTGATCTCAGGGATTGTGTGCTATCCCTGAGCTCTTTCTGCTCAAGGTTAGCCACATGGGCTGGCTTTGAACTGCAGTCCTCAGATCTCAGCCTCTTGAGTAGCTAGGATTACAGTCGTGAGCCACTTGCATCTGACTTCCATGAGTGTTCTTAAGAATGTATTTTAAGGAAGTGGTGCTGTGGCTCAAGTGGTAGAGCACTAGGCTTGAGCTGAAGAGCTCAAGGACAGTGACCAGGCCCAGAGTTCAAGTCCCATGGCTGACAAAAAAAAAAAGAAAGAAAAAGAAAAAGATGTATTATAAGCAGTAGGGTTATTGTAAAGAAAATATACATGCACGTCTGAAATATCACCACAGAACCCCTTAGTGCAATTAATAAACACTTAAAAAAATGAATGACAGGAAGAGTAAAACACGCTCTGTTGGGGATAGAATACCAGCAGAATCAGAGAGGGCTAATAAAGAGGGTGACTGAAGGTTAAAATGGTCCAAGTAACTTATTTACATGATATATGTGTATGTATACATACATATATAATGTACATTACATGTAATACATATTATATATACACATACTGAAACCCTCTTTGTACTGATGTATGCTAACATGCTAACATTAAAAAAGAAAAAAAAAGGGCTGGGCACCAGTGGCCCATGCCTGTAATCCTAGCTACTCAGGAGGCTGAGATCTGAGAATCCTGATGAGCAGGAAAGTCCATGAGACTCTTATCTCCCTCCAGTTAACCACCTGAAAGCTGGAAGTAGCTCTGTGGCTCAAGTGGTAGAGTGCTCCCCTTGAGCTGAAGTGCTGAGGGGCAGCGCCCAGGCCCAGAGTTCAAGCCATTTGACCGACCAAACAAAAAAAGAACCAAAAAAAAAAATCATTGTATTGCTTACCTATAATCCCAGGTTGAGGCAGGAGGATGGAGAATTTGAGGCCAGCCAGGGCTATATAATGAAACCCCACCTCAAAAAATCCTATCTCAAAGAACTAAAACAAGAAAATGAGAAAAAAAAAAACGTTTCATAGAAATGTTTCTGTTCCCCAAGGGGAACTAAGGAATACTTGCTTGGTGCTGCTCACAAACTCAATAAGCCCATAAATTACTTTATATAAGCAACACCAGTTAATCTTTAAAAAGTCTCCATTAGCTAGGCATTTCCTTATACTGCTATACCATAGACAAGGGGCTTTAAAATCATTAGCTTTAACTTTTCTATACATACTGTATTGGTTAAGAACACACAATTTTAGATGCCTTAGTA